GGGGATCCACACGCCATGGGTCCGTTTGCCTCGCAAACGGAGTTCAAGACTACACTCCTCACCATGGCAGGTGGTGCGGTTGCCCATCGCGTTCCGGAGCTTCGTCGCCTCGCCGCTCCAGTTCTTGCCAAGAATCACCGCATCTACTTCACACATGGGGATCTGCATGGAGACAACATACTCGTCAAGGACAACCGGCTGTCCGGTTTCATCGATTGGGAGCACGCTGGATGGTATCCCGAGTATTGGGAGTACACCATGATCGAACGCCATACGACCGACAGTCCACTTATGTGCCAGTTCTGGGACGCGGTCCGTCCGTTTGGCGCAGAGAGGTACCAGGATGAACTCGCTCTGGAATACGCCTTGTGGTTGTGCACGGGTGACACGACGGTGGCGGATGCCAGTGGAGATGATCTTTCATGTCCTCGGTGAGTTCGATCTCTCGGCCTATAGTTAGCAATAATCGACCATACGTGAGCTGACTATACCTCGAATAGTGTCACAAAATCTTGACATCGTCCCAGCCCCAAGCTCTCATTTATTATGCGCATATGGTGTATGAATTCATCGGTATACTATGTACCTCGAAAGGCTCCCCCCGTACCATTGATAGCGGTTCAAAAAGCAGGCGAGTCCGCAGTGCCGCCATTCTTTTTGCGCTTCGGAGCCGGATCGTCATGGTCTTCACTCTTACGCTTCGAAGAGACGGTGGAAGAGACGGTGGTCGAGATGCTCGAGATCGTGATAGATGGCGAAAGCATCGAAACCGTGGCGTCTGGTTGCGCCGCGTTGACACCATCATGACGCCCACTCAGCACTGGTGGACCATGTGTCATGGGTGTAGGAGACGGGTGTCGAGCCGCACTTTGCTCTAGGGCAGAATCGGCGTGGAAGGGCAGCGCTGGTGGATCGTTGAATGATACGCTCTTGTTGTGCGTTCGGGGCTTCGTCTGTGTACTTGGCTTCGTCTTCGTCTTCGTTCTGGACTTGGTTGTCTCAGACTGTTCAGTCTGCTTGCTTTCGGTGTGTGCAGCGACCTGCTGTGCCGATGGCTCGGTGGTCACGGGCCGCAGGATCTTGGGGTTAAGCTTGATGTCCTTCGGGTGGTCGACCAAGTACTGCAGAAGGATGCGCTGGAAGATGGTCCACCTTTGGGCTCGAGTCCCCCCAGACCCAGAGGGCGTATTCCGATCGAACATGCAGGGAGATCTCATAGAGCAGTGTGCCGAGATCGCGCATCTGCGGGAAGGGAGCGAAGTCGGACTGCCAGTCATCCAGGCTACGAGTGAAGATGGGGTGACGACTGTCCTGCTGAGTCGTCGGCTCGTCCGAGATCTTGTGCGCGCTGAACTGCTCCCAGAGAACGCGCAGAGTGACGGGCACATACTGCTCTCTAGCATGACCATGGGGGTGCACGCGGAGCAGAACAGCGATCAGAGTCCAGAAGACGGACTCGACGTCATGCTCTGGGCGATGATGGAACTGGAGAACTTGGTTCTTAGGGACGTCCGACGGCTCTGCATAAGGGGGTGGGGTGCCTCCGTGCATGGTGCTGTTAACGAGAAGCCAAGTCTGTTCCAGCATCGATGCAGCATTCCCTCCCAAGCACCGCATCTCCTCGGGGAACGGCACAACTTTGTCGTTGTATGACTCGTAATGGCTCTTGCCACGGACCTTGATGTAGAGTTTAAGTGCGTCCCCTTTCAGCTCTGGCATTCGTGCTCCCTTGAAGGCGCTCTCATGCAGGAGAACGGCGCCGAGTGATACAGATCGCGCGATGTATCTCGGAGTGCCCTGAAATATCAATTAGTACTTAGTAGTTCATGTGAATCGAAGACATACCGTCCGATGCAAGAGCTCTTCGGGAGGTGTTCGCTCCGCGCCCTCTCGATATAGCTGAGCGCTGTTGTCAAAGTTGATCAGAATACCTTCTGAGGTTCGCGATTCCGCTTCCCTGTGAACGATATGAACGTTGACATCAATGACGCTTATCAAGACACACACCTCGGCTTTCATAATGCCTTGAACGAAGGGTGGCGAGTCTGTCATGACACATCTTCCAGGCAGATCACGCGATTGTGGTCGTATGAGGAGATTGCAGACGCTCATATCGCGATGGAGAACTCCTCGTCTCGTTACCAGAGTACGATGCACTGCAAGACACAGGTCAGAAAGACACTGAAGGGAGTTCGTGGCACGTACCTTCGAGGATATCATAGAACGCCCGCAAGATCTCGTTCACAGAAGTGGCAGAGAGCAACGCATCGCCGTAGTCGTCCAAAACAGTTCGTGTCTTCGTCTGCCGAGTGCCGCTCTCGTAACCTGCACACAGGATCTTCTCTCCATAGTACTCCACGTCTTCGTAGCATTTGATACGAACGACTCCAGGGACATCGCCCCGGTCAGCATGGATCTTTTCGACGAGTTGTGATTCTTCCTCCGGGAATCCTCTTTGACGACGACGTACTGCTCTGAGGATTCCCTGATAAAGAACACGGTCGTACTCCTACCCCACGCGTCACCAAGATCGCAGCCCATCTTGCCGTCGGTGTACCATTCCGATCTGCAACGGACCGACCATGTGAACGTGACATTGTCGACTGTTGCGCCCGCGGACGGCATCACAGCCTTGCTCATACTCGTCTCGAGGTGGGACAGGGGTGGAACGTAGACGGTGTAGAAGAACGAGGCGAGAGGGTCCAGGTTGTCCCAAGGGAACCGGACTGAGGCGAAGGTTCCTGATGGTTCGAGAAGCAAGATCTGGTAGTAGTCCGGCTTGACGGTGAGATGCAGGAAGGCTGGTTTGGCTTCTGCGAGAGTGGTGATGCGGTGGTGGTTGGCGCTGTCCATGTTGGCGATTGCCTCCTTAACTGGAATGGCCAAAGTAGACGTGTCCACGGAGCGAGTGCGAAGGTGGGTGTTGACGAAGTTGGTATCGACGTTGGATGGTGCCGGTTCTGGCCGTTGTTCGAGAGCGATACGATTGTCAGCATTGGTTCCACCACATTCGATGGGAGATGATTGCAAGTCGTAGTAAGAAAGCGTACCATTGCTCGATGCAGTGCCAGTGTCACTAGAGCTACCGTCGACCCTGCTCGCGTGCTCAGTGATGGGGGTGACCGGACGTTTGTTTGTTAACGACATGGCAGAACTGCGTGGGCTTGAGATGATCGCGGCAGTCACGTTCTTGGGTCTTATATAGTGGTTAGTGAGCTGAATCCAAATTTCAAAAGCAGTAATGTTGAGGCAATGGAGTGAGTGTTGCCGGAGGTGCATGTAGGACAAGTGTGTGTAAGTGCGTCATTGTTCAACTTCGCCGCAGTTTGGATGGGCGCCTATCTTCCCTTGCAAGTTGCCATTGTCATAGAGTAACTGCAGACCGACTCCTCCCGACTCGGGATTGTGTCTGTGACGTCAAAAACCTTGTATATTCGTACCCATCGCTCGTACTCGACAAGCTCGAGAAGCGCGAGACCAAACCGTCTCGAACGACCCACTGGCAAGCGCAGACTCGTGAGCCACTGGGCACTGGCAAGGTCTCATCATTTATCAGAAGTCGAAGCTCTTATCTAGGTCGTCCTTGAGGTGTGCGCGCATGCCAGGAGGAAGTATAGGTTCGTCGTTCTTCGCGATGTATCCTTGATAACGCAAAGTCTCAGCCTGGCAGTAGCACTGCCCTGTTCAATTGAGTGTACTCACTGAAGGGCATCTCCACGCTCTCCTTCGCATTGAATACGATAGTAGGGAAGTCCTCAAAAGCATACAAGTCAGAACCGTACCAGACCCGGGGTAGGATGCAAGAGATCACGGCGCACGATGAATGGGATCTTCGACAATGGTGCTGCGGTACGATGGTCAACCTCAAGTTCCGCCCTCAGCGCCGCCGGTTCCACGCACTCTTGTCTTGCACAACGATCTTGGTGACTCCAAGAGCAGTATCAGTCGTCATTTGGACGGGGCCAAGGTGTCGGTTTGGAAAGCCGAGGACACGAAGTTCGGATGTCCGGTCGCGGGGTGGATCGTCGCCTGCAACCGAGGTGAGTCTTCGTCGGACGTCGCCAAGGCGAGAAAACCTCATACCCAAAATACCCTGAATCAAACAATGCAACGTCAGTATTGCCTCCCCGCGCTCACGAAGGAGCTGCCTACCCCGAACAGAAACCACTCGAACCGGCCATCGCCGTCTTCAGGCGCGAGCTCCTTCTCGGCCTTCGGGTCCAGCAAGCAGACCTTCTCCAGGGTGACGCCCTTTTCCTCCATCAGCTGCATGACTGACTTCTGGTGTGCACAAGCATCTGCCCGTGAGCGGTCCTGCTCATCCGAGAACAGCCTGGACAGCGTGCTGCACGAGCCCGGCGAGAGGTGCGTGAAGTGCACGGTCGCCCCGGGGCCAGCAAGGGTGCGCATGTGCTGCAACGTCGCTTGAGCTAGATATATGGCTGGCGGGGATACAGGACTCCGACCATATACTCCAACTCGACCCACTTCGGGATTGACTTTGGTGTTTCCTCATCCTCTTCCATGTGCTCTGTAGCGATCTTCAGGTTAACATCCGCTCCCATCTACAGAGATACGCACCAATAACGTATGAGAAAGCCATTTGGCTCGCTTATCAGTGCTCTGGCGATATTCGGACGGTCTCTCTTATGATGGATCTACGAAAGCCGGAAAGCGCCCATTGGAGAAAACGTCGGCCAGTCCCGTACGGGCGCCTCCTTTGCCTAATTAAGGCAAGCGACCACGGGCGTCTCAGTTGCCAAATGCGGCGACTTCAGCACTCAGTATACGACCTATAGAACGAGACATTCAGAGCCGCACACTCTCGAGCCGCTTGGGGTCAAATATATGCGCATCTACAGCGATGTTGACACCGATTGAACTTGGTACAACGTGATAATCGATCAAATTTCGCCTGTCACGTGATAAATGCCTCCAGATCTTTCTTCCTTTGTCCGGCCCCCTAAAAAACAGCGGGAAAAAGATTGCCTTGTTCCATTAGCCCACCGCGAGGGTCGAACTCGCAGCCTTCAGATCAATCCCACTAAACCTATCGGTCATAAGAGTCTGACGCTCTATCCGATTGAGCTAGGCGGGCGATAACATACAGATTGCCCGGTCTGACATATCGTTTAGGGCAAGAGCGCGACACTACGCAAGGGATTGGAGTGACAAGAATTTTGTGAAGTCCCCCCGACCCCACCAACCAGATACTACGCGGCCTTCTTGCCCTGTGCGCCACCCGCCCGGTATCGCTCCCGACCCGCGGCCGTGAGCGAGCCATCCGTCTCCTCCTTGATCCCCAGCTCGACCTTCAGGACGACGTTGTTGAACTCCATCATGGTCAAGCCCTGCTGGTGGCGGATGCGCGGCTGCCATCCGTCAGGGAGGCGCTCCTCGGTGAGGAACGGGCGGAGGTCCTTGACTCGTCCGCCGAAGATCGTCAGAAGCGTCGACCCACTAGCATACAGGAATGGTTGTGAGCATGTTATCGTGAGGGAACGAGATAGCGGGAGAACGCACTTGGAGCTTCCGAAGAACCGGTGGATGAATGCCAGGCTGAAGGTCGGGTTTGCTTTCTTTGACTCCATGCGGCGCTCGCCGAGCAGGCGCGAGAGGTCCGCCGGGGTGAGGTCGCCGTTGGGCGCTGTTCCGGCCTTGAGCAGTCGCTCGACGAGCGGCAGCGCGATCTTGCCCTGGTCCGGTTCCTCGACGGTGTCCAACCCTACACATCCACTGCATCAGACATAGACCGAGTCCAGCGCAGATGAGAATGAGGGATGGAACGACACGCACGGACGAGGGAACCGTCATGCTCGATGCAGTTGTGCGCATCGAGGTCGGCGAGGTCGAACGCGTCCGTCCAGTAGCTCCGGCCTAGCATATCCGCCGCATACTTGGGCACGAAGAAGCAGAACGTCGGCGCAAAGTTGTAAGTCTTCTGCACGAGCGTGGACAGCTCGCGGAACGTGATGTTGCGTCCCGAGTGCGGGAGGATGCCTGCATAGTAATGACGGAGCGCCCGCGAACGGGCCGTCAGCTGGAGGCTCTCCCACGAGGCGCGGAAGCTTGAGCAGTAGGGTGTGGGACGCACCGTGGTTGGCCATCGCGTTGAGCGCGGGACACGAGCATCGGCTATCACCCTGCTTGGGTGGAACGTACTGCGGCCACTTGCCATCCGCGCCGGGGTGGCCTTTGGGCACGACGTGTTCGGCCGGGCGATCAGGTGTGACGAGGTTGTAGACGAAGAGGACAAAGTCGACCAGGAAGACGAGTAGGTTGAGAAGTTGACCTCCAAGCGATGAGAGAAGACCGAGGACGATGCGCTGGAGCGCGAGGAGCGCGAAGGGCTGCTCGCTCATGGTGGTTGAGAGTTGAGAGGAGGGCGGGGTGAGTGGGGAACGAGCGAGGGCGTGCTCGCATGCGAAGAGCCTGAAGAACTCGGCTCGAACGGGACGATGGTTTGACGCGAGTCTCGTGCCAGTCCTGATATGGGCTGGAGCATACAGATCGGACAGCATACCGTCGAAGGAAGGCATGCGATTGGCCCGGCGATGACCCGGCGTTTGCGCTCGTTGGATCGCTCGACGGAGTACGTATGTAATACACACTACCGAGAACGGTGCCGGTGAAGCTTGGTCTGCACCCGCGAGAACCGGTCGATTGATGGTATAACATCTCAGGCCGCGGCATCCTGATCTATTGATACAGTACAAAAGACACACTGGACAAGCCTCGGTGAGCACAAGAGCAGCAAAGTGCGCACACACGTACCGTGCGCTCGTATGTGGTAAGACTACGACCTCCATCTGTCATAGTCAAACCGCCCATGCAGTCGCGTCACAATCTCCTGGTAATCAGGCTCGTTGTCGGGCGTGATGATGCCTCTTCTGATCATGAAATCGATGATAACTAGTCATATGCAGGCAGGTGTCAGCATGAACTTCCGTGACGAGAGGAGCACGCATGCCTGGAGCGCAATTGTACTTGAAGACGCCAGTTCGGACGTGCTCGACCGCGACTGACAATGGCAGGCGCTTTGCTGAGGGTCAGAAGGGGCCCTGGAACACCCAAAAAGTGATGACCAACCTCAAAAGATTCTACCTCGCCATCAAGCGGTTGCGGCTTGATGCCAGAGCCTGCATGGAGGCATAGATCATATATGTACCTGCAACGCAGGACTAGGTGAGCATGATCGTTCAAACCATAAGTCGCTGCAGAGCACACGTACTCGATTTCCGGCTGCAGCCATCCACCTGGTGTTCTGGACAGTAACGAGATGGGGTCCCGCGCGCGGATCGAGTAGGACCTACGGGGCAGCTCACCTGAAGAAATAGCTCACACAGCCCACAGGATGCGCATACTTCCTGACGACGTCCTCGGGGATGCTCGCCTCCTCCATCGACTCTTTCACCACGCACTCAAACACACTGATTCCCGCCGGGATCCCGCCCGCGACGCTGTTGTCCAAGTACCCCGGCCACGTCTGCTTCGTCGCCGCCCTCCGCGGGACCCAGAGATAGTACGCACCGTCCTCGTCCAGCTCACACACGGTCATGTGGATCCCAAACGTCACAATCCCGAACAGCGCGCTCGCCGCCCTCTCCATCTCGAACGCGTAGTTCAGCCCGTCGCTCGCCGCCGCCGCCGCCTCCGCGCCGTCCGTGGGGTAGTCGCGCTGGCCGAACGGGTTGCGGTAGACGGGGTAGAGCTCCGCACGCCATTTCTTGGGCCCGATCACGTCTGGCCAGAGCCCGGTGTCGCGCCATCGCTCGCAGAGCTCCTTCATCACGCCCGAGCGCGCCGCCGGGGTGGCGATCCCGTGCGCGAAGCTCACCCAGGTGCAGTCGCCGCCTGTGCTGGTGCCGAACTCCCAGGACGGGGAGGAGCTCGACTGGGCTTCGGCGCGGAGCTGCGCAACAACCTCTGGGCGGAGGAGTCCGATTGCTGAAGAGGACGGAGAGGGGGAGAGCAACCATGGGACGACCGTCTCGTTGTCCGCCGATCCAACGCGATAGTTGTCGCAGGCGCTGACGACCTGGAGGAACGTTTGCGGAGCAGTTGGCGTGGGCCCTGGCATGTTTCGTGGTCAGAGTCGAGGAGTGTCGTAGATGTTCAGTCTGTGGCGAGGTCGAGTAGGTTGTGCAATATTTGAACAACATCGTCGGGCCACGTCCGAGAGACGATTCGGATTAATCGGACGATCGCATGACTCGGTGCGCAGCTGCACGCCGTGACGCCGTGACGCGACGCGTCTGGCCAGCCACAGACGCGTCTATTTTTCTTGGGTCGCACAGAGACCGTGATTCTTCACCCGAGAGTCTAAATGAGGGCAAACACCAAGGCAACAGAGACGCAACGTACGCGTATAAGTGCGAGGTAGCGTGAGTTAACTTGGTGGGAGACTTTCTTTCTTCAAGCACGCATGTTCCTTCGGTTCCGTATATGGTAGTGCAGACGCCGGCGGGAGCCGGGCCGGGGCATACCTCCCACGGTTTGCTCCGTGTCATCCTCTGGTCATCCTTCAACCTCGTACTCTCATGTCCTTCTCCTCACGATGGAAGGTCTATCTTGGTACCAATCATTTTGAAGTTTACCTCGGACAGTGATAGAACCCAGCTTGAACTAGGGTACTATTGGCCCCACTGGACGGGTCACCTCGACACGGAGTCCATGACAAACAAGAACAAGTACTTCTATAGTGGGTATGTATATAGCGCGTAAAGCATTTCCCCGCAACCGTTGATAGTTGAACTAAGGCTCGCCCTGAACAGACCGATTCCCCACGTTATGCCATTCAACTGGAAGCTCTTCCATCATTTCGAGGCGGGAATCATGATGGCGCGATCACCTTGAGCGCGAGAAGGTCAGTACGGATTGATACAATTCCTTGCGCTGTTTGGTCGCTCACAGTGCAACACTGCACACATCAGACCGTTTCGATTCTTGGCAATGTCGTTGTACTCAATTCGAGGCCATGCGCTTCAGCGATAAATACCCGGGTGACGCTCTCACTCGGAGGAGTTCACCTTCAGGCCCACATCCACTGTAGTGAGGTCTCTTTGTCGCCGTCGGGTCCTCCTCAACTCGCCATGTCGCCTCATCTCCTGGCAGCCTTCGCGACACTCCTCGCTGTCTCTGGATCAGCCCTCGGTGCTCCTGCTCCTGATGCGTCGGCAGATCCCTGCGCAGCGATTGCGGGGAAGCAGTTCGTCCCTCCGAAAGACTCGCTCGCGTGCCTCAAGTCGTTCCCCTTCAACGAGACACTGCGCCAAAACATCCTCACGGTCGTCTCGCGCGTCTTTGACTTCTACACCTTCGAAAACTACTACCTGGATGCGATCCCGCCCTTCCAGGACTCCACTGTCAACATTCGCGCAGAACTGGACAGGATCAACAACACCGAGTACGCGGTAGGTCCCGGTCCGCTCTGGTTCCATGTGCTTTCGTCTTCACGACTTGCTTGGCAGACGGACTACGACTTCAATCAGGATCTGTACTTCTTCACCAACCGTCTTAACGACGGTCACACGCGTGCGTCCGCTCCATCCGCGCTCTGGCGGTTATACTTTTTCCTGACCTGATGCATCCAGGCTGGCGTCCGAACTGCTACACGACGTTCCAGAACCTCCTCCCGGCGCCCGTCGTGACGCTCGAGCAGGACGGCGAGCAGAGCGTGTTCGTCGCGCCGGACTCGGTCGAGTTCCTCGGGCTGCTCGGGCCCGAGTTCGCCGCGCACTTTGCCGCGCTCGGGTTCGACTGGAAGCGGCTCGCGGGCGCGCGCGTGCTCGAGATCGGGGGGATGGGCGCGTACGAGTACGCGAGCTTCATCGCGGAGACGCAGACGGGCACGTACCTCGACCACGGCGTGCGCGTGAACAGGGCGTTCAGCAGCTATGCCGTCACGGGCTCCAACTACACGCAGCGCATTGGCGATATCGCGGGCCCGGTGTTCCCTGACCTCGAGAGCCTTACGATGAAGCTCGTGCCCGTCGGCGCGACCGAGGCGGAGACGGTCGAGATCCCGTTCCTGTCGACCTACCTCGGCACGGAGCCCTTTGCGGACAAGGAGGAGTAGTGAGTGCAGTTGGTGTTTGC